ACACACACACACACACACACACACACACACACACACACACACACACACACACACACACACACACACACACACACACACACACACACACACACACACACACACACACACACACACACACACACACACACACACACACACACACACACACACTGCGCCGATCAAACATGCACGGGCACAAAAACCTGCGGGGCAGAACAACTGTTTGCTTTTATCAAGCAAGTGTTCGGATTGCTCCGGTCGCCGCCCGTTTCTTGTAAGCAAACTCCGCAGCAAACATCAAGTATACGAGAGTACACACAGACGCACACAGACACACAAACACACACACACACACGACGGCCGGCATAAAGACGCACAGCTCATGGCGGCAGGTGCTGTTGGTCGTCTGACGCCATCGTCGCCTCGCATGAGCGGAAAAGGGTTAACGCCCGCCCGCAGTCCCTCCCTCCCGCCCGCGCCACCCTCCTCCCCCTCCCCACCGCCGCTAGCGGTACATCGCTAACAGTAACATATAGGTATATATAGGTAATACATAGGCAATATATAGGTAACATATAGGTATATAGGTAACATATAGGTATATATATGTAACATATAGGTAATATCAGGGGTTAATAATGACAAATTTGTCATTTACGATTGTAATTTGTCATTATTAACCCCTGGTAATATATAGGTAACATATAGGTAACATATAGGTAACATATATAGGCATGTAGGTAATATAGGTAACATAGCTAGTAGTAGCGCGCTACTATTACACCTAGAATCCCGTGCACACGGTCTGACAACCCGTCACATGCGCGAGAGCGTTCTTGCTAATTGGATGAGCAATTAATTTGCCGAGAGTTTTAACTGTCGCACTGCGCCGACAGTAGGTCGACAGCAGACGGGAGGCAGAACGAATCGACGACAGACGCCGGGACGTCAAGCCGCCGCATTTACCTCGCACATCTGTGTTATATTGCTCCCCCTGGCGGACATTATATCGCGCGCGGTGCGGGGCGTTTGTTGCGCGCGAAGCAATTTCCATGTTCAACCACAAGCTTGCTAAGAAAAGACTGCAGCCAGCGTAAACCTGCAATATTCACGCCCAAAATATGCCAATTATAACCACCCAGGCACTAGATCTGATATAGACACACGCACACACGCACGCACGCATGCACGCAGCGCACGCACGCACGCACGCACGCACGCACACACAAATACACACGCACACATGCACACACATATATATATATACATACAGGCGAGGATAAAAGACGCCACACCCTACTCGCAGAGCGACGTGGCTGATCAAATCTTTCACATTGCTTACCTGCCCCCTCTCGACCACTTACTAGTTACCACCCCCTATATATACAGCCACTACGTTTTATTGTTAAATCCTAGTCGCTGAGTTATTTCTGTAATAATTTAGGCTATTACGTCTCCTCGAGAAAATTATTGGCTTATTAAGCTGCCTATAATTAAATCCGATTGAAGCAAGCATACAAAGGCAGACAGCGAGAACTATACACACGCACACACACACTATATATATATATATATATATATATATACATATATATATATATATATATACGCGCATGTATTTCTTGAACAGATAAAGAAACTGAGCCGACAACGTTTTTCCGTAAGGCTGCACCAGCTGGACTATTTCGCACGAGTGAAGTTCTACATACTTGACAGTGTCAATGGCATATAATGTCATCAGTGTTACCAGGAGTGAATAAAAACAACTTGTGTTTTCATTCACTCCTAATGTTATGTTATTTCGCCATTCTCACGGCATGACATCGCTACATGAGTTATTATTACAATGCAACAATGACAGACAGAATAAATACGCCTATGTTGCGATACAGCGCTCCTCCTCCTCCTCCTCCTCCTCCTCCTCTTCCTCCTCATCCTTATGCTAAGTGGTAAGAAGGTAAGTGATAATATCCACTGTGAATATAGCCGCCATTTATAATGATAAATTACAATGTAACATTCTTTTTACAGCTCACACATTTTTAGTGGGTAGCTATTGATATAACGGAGCATATCGTGGAATATTTGCACCTACTGTTTCTTTTTTTGGGTTCATCCCTGAAGGCACTCACTACTTTGCCACTATATCCAGTGCAGTGGACACCGACAAGTACGAGAACATAACATAACATATTTAAACAACTGCACGCTAAGGTAAACGAGATACGACACCCCCTCCTCAACCCCGTACGCTTCCGCAACATTTGTAATATATAATAACGGTGAATAACTAGACAAAAGAGGAGAATGTTGACCAATTACTGACAGAAGAACGCTTCGAGAGTATCGCTACGGAACAATGTTGGGGTTTCGTTTGCAACCACATTTTACTAGAGATCGGTCCACGATGATATAAGGTTCAATGCGAAGAGCATCTACTTTACCCAGTTAGAGTACAACCATTGGAAAACAATGAGTTCTAGTGATACTGAAAGAACATCGTACGGAAAGAACATTGGAGAACCACGGGAGAACATCTGAAGTTACAAAACCGAAGAACGTTTAGCAAATAGCAATGTACCGACTGAAAGAACATCAGAGAACCCCAGTGAAAGATCTTACGTTTCAAACCCGAGGGAAATTTAGCGAGGAATACACAGCCTGAAAGTACATCGAAGAGAGACGGACATAGCCAGGTGGCGGAAGGCTTTTCCCCGCGGAAAAAAAGAACCGCCACCGGAAATGGGAGGGATGCTAGTGAGATGGCCCGTGTGTAACCATGGTGACGCAGCGCGCAGACACGGGGGTACGATGTGTACGCGCGGATGGCCACCTGTCCCATTCACTCACCTTGTTTTTGCACGCTTCGGTTATACAATGAGGATCGGTGGCGCTCTCGTCCTACGGAAGAGATTCAAACGGTTACGAAAACAAGCAAGACTCGCGTCGCATACATTGAAACCCATAACCGTACGGCAGCGAAAGGCAAATACGGCGATTAATTCAAAAGCATGGCCCGAAGAAGAGGCGCCTGTGATGTGCGGCGACAATGGAATTAGCATAGATATTCAAGTTTCGGGAGTGCTCAGTGTTGCCTCGGCGCTCAAAGGAAAGCACCATTACAAATTATCCCTCTTTAAACTGCTTAGAGTTAATGGTCGCAAAGCAAATACAGCCCACTGGTCAACCTGGACCAAGGCCACCGTCGGACAATAGGCGGGCGGCTTGTGGCACCTGTCATTCAGTGTTTGTCTCATGCGCCAGGCCGCCACGTAGCGGTGCGCACGCGAACAAGGGTCCGAAACTACAATAGCGGAGCCCTCTGTTAGCAAAGTATCATTGTTATCGGATGCGCTGCTGCTGCTGCTGCTGCCGCAGCCGATAAACATTGGACATTGTGGCGTAAGCGCGAGTACATAAAGGACGGGCACGTACGCTACTGTCCGTGCGTTCACGTGGATGACATGCTGCGCGACAGCACGACAGCAGGGGGTGGGGTGCGGGAGGAGGAGGGGGTGGGGTGCGGGAGGGGAGGAGGGAGTGTGTTACGGAGCGGCCTTTGCTCGAATCATTCATTACTCACCAGCCGCAGCTGCAAAATTATTACGCTCGTAACAATAGCGGTGGAGCTGGATAATCCGTCAGATTTCTTCCTTATTGCGTTGAGCTGACGTGAGGCAGACTAGCGCACACTTACGGTGAGGAATCTACATTTATTGTCGGGGACGCGAACCCGTTATCAGGAATTTTTCATTATTTCCTCCCGAGATTATGTGCGGTGTACGAAATTCGAAAGCTCATATAATAATTTGATCACGTGAAAAGTTGGTTACATACTAGTGCGGTAGATTATTGTTGGGGGGGGGGAGTTACTGTGGCACAGGGAAAATCTCATTCCGTCTTCTACATCTGGGTGCACAATGACTCATACACAGCATGCGCACCAATTATATGCAAATACAATCACTACAAGAAAAGCCCATTGGTGTGGATTTACTATATGTTTTCCTTTTTAGAAAAGGTTTCGTTTAGAAATTGGACGACCTGAACCATAGCAATGACATGTAATTATATTTCTTAGATACTGTCGTGTATTTTATTATTTGCCGTATAAATTAAAATATAGTTATAACGTTGCTATTTCTAGTTATATATGCCAGCTTCCTAATTGCGACCAACTATCTCGCTCTCGCTTTTCGCTCTTCCCTCTCTCCCTCTCTATCTCTATCTCTATCTCTATCTCTATATCTCTCCCTCTATATCTATCGCTGTCTCTCTCTCTCTTTCTCTATCTCTCTCTCTCTCTCTCTCTCTCTCTCTCTCTCTCTCTCTCTCTCTTTCTCCCTCTCTGCGACCAATTTTCCAGTGATCAAATCCCGAAGCCGTCACATGAATGGACCAGGCACCTAATTATTCATTAGGCACGCACCAGTGATTAGAAACACGTAGGTAGGAATTAGCACCGAGCTAACTTCCTAGCTGCTTAAGGCGTTCCTGAGCCGTACCCACTGTTTAATCGCACCCCGTCATCAACGTGCTAATTGAATATTCTCGTAACGTCGTTTGCTCAGACCGTACAACATCTTTGTGCACAAGTAAGCAGGTTTCAGGACTAGCACGTAAACGTCAGCCCCTAGATGCATATACTCGCATACGCGGCTATTGTCCCATAGGCTGCACGTTAATGATCATAATATATATATAACATTATTACAATAACGAGTTAATATCGTTACATTATAATCAGTTGCTAATAGCAAATGCATTTACAGTGCGTGGGTCATTGCTAATTGCTAATTGCCCACTGCAATTGCCGTTACGTAAAAAAAGGTTATCCAATTTAATTTTTAAAGAATCTTAGAAGTACTTCATATAGAGTATTGCAATATCTGTTACGTTAATTGTACTTACTATTTATACAAGGACACATGCACGCACGCACACACGCACGCACACCCACGCGCGCGCCGTACGAGAACAAGTCCACATGAACTAGTAAGCTCGAGCCGATGCCATCAGCTGCTCCGCTGTCCGCAGCGGTCCACAGCGGCACCGCTGTGGTCGCCTGCCTCTACGACCTCCAGATAAACTCGCCACAGTGCATCGGAGAGCAGCTGTATATTCCTGGTGCATGCGCATGCCCCCGAGTCTCACCACCGCTATTAGACGCACTCAGACACACTCTCGGTGCAGTGACTCATACCGCCGCCGCGCAGATGTGGGACACCGCTTATCCGCCAGGATGCTGCTGCTGCGCACACCAGACGACGAGCTGCGAAGCATGGTCGATGCTGTAGGCACATATATATATATATATGGCTGCTGTGTATGTACTGCCGTGTTATGGTGTCCCCCCTTAACAGACCTATGACCTGAAGGTTGCCGTGTCTTCAGTATGAAACAATGTCTTAGCTCACGCACGTGCCGAATATTTCCCTGATTTCTGTGTTCTGTAGCTCCTCCACCCTAACGTGAAGTTCGCTGCGTCTACAGTATGCAGCAACGACTCAACTCATCTATAAATAAATAAGACACATCCGCCACATATGATAAGGGATATAATGAGGAATATAATATACTGTGTAGGTCCCTGATTTCTGTGTTTAACAGTTCTCTTCCATCAACTCTACCGTGAAAGCTGCAGTGTTTCAAGCATACAACAATGTCTTAACTGTTACTCATGACTGTGACTTTCCTAGATTCTGTGTCCCCCCTCCCACCTAGCTCTAGATTCTAGAACTATAGCCCTTCGCTCCGCGACAGGCCTGTGGCAGAGCGAAGAGCTATAATTCTAGAGCTACCCCCCACCCTGACCTGAAAGCTGAAGTATCTACAGTTTACAACGACGTCTTAATTCTCTTAAGTCTAAAATTGCCGAGGTTTACAGCACTAACACACGCCGAAGGATGACGTATTCTACAGCCCTCCCCCTACCTCAACATGAAGGATCCCCCGTCTTCTGTATGCAACAGTGTTCTAACCCCATATACGAGTCATAACAACCCCACCGTTATACTACTCGCAAATTCATGGAACACCGGAGTCACTCCTGGCGACGCCATGTTGTCATCGATGTTGTCACGTTGCAACATGCGTCCGTTGACACATCGACGTGTTGACGAGATGACATTTACTCGTAATGGCAAGAAAACCCTCAACGGTAATGCCATGCCGAATAGCAATCATCGACGCGGCCTTTGCGGACACACGCGCGCGCACGCAGACGTATGGAATTGTCGGCGAGCCCTAGGTCGCCCAGGGCAGCAAGCAGCAGCAGCAGCAGCAGCAGAAGCAGCAGCAGCAACAGCCGCCGCTCACTCAAGGTTTCTGCAATAATTACATAATCATCAGTCCCGCGATCCAAACGTCAGACGTACGGCGCATGCAACACTTGACAGGCTGCTGCTCTACTAGCCGTGCGTACGTGCTCGGAACCCCCGGCATACCCTCTCTTCCGCCGACGGATGCATACACGCCGCGAAAAAGGCCATCGCGAGGATTAATGCTAGCTGCATGCGGAGTGGAAACCTCCGCACATCCGTCCAGCATCCGATACTGCCTCCGGTGGCACGAGAGGCCTGCAATTAGGCGCGCATGGTCTGCTGCTGCTGCTGCTGCTGCTGCTGCTGCTGGCGACGTCATAAGATATTATTAGCGTCGCAACTGTGTGCAGCCACGGGGGGGGAGGACAGAACAGAGCATGCATTGTTCCGCAAAATCCAATCGCAATTGCGCATATATATATATATATATATATATATAT